ACCAATAATCCTAAATTCTTCCTAATCATTTTATTCCCCTGATCATTTTGAAGAATGATAATGTAATAAAATTTCCTAACAGAAAAAAATAGATAGAAAGGGATTAATGCACACCTGATAGGGCAGATGGATAAAATGTCCCCTCAACCCAAAGTATTTGTTCGTATGACAGATTGATACCAGCAGAAGGTAATTTGAAAATGAAATTACAAGCACATCCTGTCAGATCCGCTTAAAAGTTTCACGACGTTCCGCAGCTGCCGACTTAACTTTTCTACCTTTTCTGTTCTTACTTTTTTTAATCCTCTCTTTGTTAGCAAGACGGACGTCCAGCTGAACGTTGAGCTCCACATTTTCATCTTCTGCTAGTCTCCCTGCTTTACATGGACCTCGTATCTCATTTCCTCTGTTTGCTCTCACTGCAGGGCGTCGTAATAAAAGAAGCAGAGGCAGAAGAAAAAAAAAAAAAAGGCCCGCTCATACTTCACCTCCTTTGACTCCAGTAGAGGTGAGGATGGGCGGGAGGCCGTCTAAGGGGATGAGGTTGGCAGAGCTGCTCACTAAGGCTGTGGGGCCCCAGCCATGAGGACCACACGCCTCCTAAAGTCACATTGAAAAAATGAGCAATCTATGAAATATTTAGACCGTAAAAGAAACTACAGGTAGGTAGAAACTACAGGTAGGTACAGTGCAGCGCAAAGCTTTTCGTCATGCAAAAATCTGCTTTTTCAGGTTTTCGAATTTTGTAACAATAAACTTATGTTTTTGTTTCTTGTGTTACAGACCACACCAAGTAGTGTGTATTTGTGAAGAAGAAGGATAATGGTGAAGGCTTTTATATTTTTTGTTCATAATGGAAAATATAAAATATCACATGCGTTTAGAATGAGCCCCTTTTACTTGGATAGCCCTAAATGAAATACATAGCTAAATCAAAAATAAAGTTGTCTGATCTTGTGTCAGTAAAAATACAGCTATTCTGTATTTGAAGCTGAACAAACAGCGTTATGAAGCCTAAAGTCACTCAAGTTGATAAAACTGTCGAGAAGTTTAGAGAAAGGTTAGGTTATCAAAATAAACTGTTATGATTTCAACATTTTACAGAGCAGTGATCAGACTATTCAACAAAATGAGGAGGCTGGCACTGATCAGGAACGAAGCAAATAAGCCACTGCGAGCTGTGGAGGAGTTGCAGAGATCTACTGCTCAGGTGGGAGGAAAGTTTTAAAAAGTAAAATCATTTCACAACTATGTATTCATTTATGTCAGAGTATGACATCAAATCGTTGACGTTTGTGTCCGCAACATCAGATTATCTTAGACTGGTGTGTATCTGGGTATATTTCTCATGTTTTAAACCTACATTAATTGTTGTCCTGTGTGGTTTTAAGGTTCTCCTGATCTGTGGTGAACCAGCAGGACTTCTCGCAGGCTCGCCCAACTCCCGCCTCATCAGGGGTGAGAAAGTAAGTCCTCTCACTGGTGTGGCTGGAGCAGACTCAGACTGCTGACCAGTGAGGATTTCATCTGCAAACCACACTCTCCTTTTCCCTCTTAGAGGAGTCTCTGTCGGAGAAGACATGACACTTTGGTAGTGCATTTCCCTACCAAACGAGGTAGAAAGTGGCATTTTACTTACTCTTGACGAGGGCCGAATGGCAGGATACGCAAACCCTTCCTTCCTTGCCATCCAGATGTGTTAGTCTAAACTTCATATTGGAGCAGAGCGCGCAAAACACCTGCCGACATGCACACATTCGTTTCACACGTCACCAACTGTGTTTCTCTTCACGCTTCATCATCACATAGAAAACGTTCGACTTTTGAGTGAATCAAACTGCCCTCACCTTGCCACAGGCACGGCAGTGGTGCCTCCTCTTGGTAAATGTAAACTTTGTCCCACACTTCATGCAGACCTGAGCTTCAGCATCAGGAACCCACACCGGAGCCACCTCCCCCAGGACGTCACCCTGATCCTCAGGCAGAACTCCAGAGGGGCTCATCTGGGAGTCATTATCAGGATCCGCTGGAGGATCAGCATTCTTCCCCTTTGCTTCGTCCTCACCGGCTCCCTGAGTCTTGCCTCCACTTGTCTCGGCTCCTCCTTTAGATTTGACCTTCCTGAACTCCCGAGTCCTAATGCACGGATTCTCGTGTGAAGAAGTAAAAGATGCTGCAGCTTCATCTGAGCTGGAAAAATGCTCTGCCTGCTCCAACCCACTTTCTTCCCTTTCCTTCTCCTCAATCACAGACTCCTCTTTGGAGGGGAGAACTTGAGACTGAACGCCTTCCTGATCCACCTGATCCTCCTCTTCCGGCCAGGCGGCCTCGGCGGGGCTCAAAACCAGGGTGCTCGAAGGGTCATCGTCGCCCCATGTGGAGATGGTGGTCACAGTGCAGCTGCCTTCCTCCAGCTGGGACTGTGACGCCGCTTTGGTTGGACGCTCCAGTGGTTTTTGCCCACATTGACTTCTGATTGTCGCATCCGAGGAGGATTTGGAGGGAGAATGAGGTCGGAGTTGACTGGAGCTCAGACCAGGCTTGGTCATGTCACCATCTTTGAGGACCAGTAGGCAAGGTCTGTTCAGCCACTGCTGCTTGGAGTGCTGAAGAGATGGGTTGTCTCCTTCATCTGTTGAGACAAAAGTGGGGACAGATTGTCTCTGACTGTTTATACTGTGTGTAAGTACTGTATGCATACTCTTTGAAGCTTTCCACAGTTTTATCACATTGCAACACCAACTTTAGTGTATTCTCTTTGTTGACCTATGTGACAGCAACAAAATGTAGTGAAATATCGTGAAGTTTTTGGAGAAGATTGCTGCACAAAACATTGTTTACATTTTTTCCAAATGAAAATTTGAATATCGTGTTGCAAACTCCACCAATAAAGCTGATTCTTGTCACTTAAGTTCTAGGGGTATGCTGAAATTAAAAAAACAAAACAAAAGCAGCAGGGTAATGTTCTCAAAATGAAGTCCGACTTGGTCTTCAATCGATAGGATAACTAGAAACTGATATCTTGCAATGTTACTTTAATAGTTTCAGTTGATGTCCTTTCCAAATATTGTCTGAGAAAAATACTTAAGCATACCGCCATGTCAGTGCTTCACTGTTGGCTCAACTTTTTCAGGCTTGCGAGTTTTCTCTCAAATGCACGGATACAACTCAAAGTTAGTTTCTTTGTTCCTCAACACATTTACAAAATAAGCCTGGTTTTTCTTTTATGTTGATTTTGGACCAAAGGTCTCGTCTTCTCCAGGTAGCATTCCATCCCATGCCGGAGCAGGTCTTGTTTCACTGGAAGTAATGGCACTCCCTTACTTGATTTAGCCAACATCTTCATCACTTACTTTGCTTTCGGTGAGGCTAGGACACACACATTTTGCACAAAAAAATAAAGACATCCAGCTCTGAGATACAAAACGATTGCCGTTCCAAAACCCTTTGTTTGAACGAATGAAAGAAGCTTCTGGAAACTCTGGAAACTCTACCCGCGGTTGTGGTTGAATGAGACTTGTGGAGTCACAATTCTTTTCTTGATCTCTTGTCTGCTTTGTTTTGGTTTTTCCACTGTGTCATGCAAGTAAATTATAGTGTCTGGGTTGATTTGGAAAATAAAAAAAATTTAAAAAAAAGACTTGCTTCTACTTAACTCAACCTACCAAGTCATATCATCGTCATCATCATCATCATCTAGGCTCTCCCAAATGTTTTAAGGAGAAAAAAAATAGAGAAAAAAAAGGTTGTCCTTTTATACAACGCATGCAAGTATCTGGTTTCATCTGCATATGCAAACCAGTGATACAAGCCCCTCCTTCTCTCTACCTCGATTCATTCATTTTTGCGACCTCCTGCAGCCGCAACCAATCACCGATTAGATTTCTAATGGCTCGCTGAACCGCAAATATCGACGGAAGTCGAACAGACTGCAGCTCCAGTCAAACACAGGACGAACAAAAAATGTTTGAAAACTGACGTCCTTGCCAGTAGATTTCTGTTTTGACGCTGGCGCTCGTCCGCCTCCGCTAAAAGCCAATTAAATGGCCAAAACCTGCAGTTCAAACTGCATTGCAGCTTTAATGACAGAGAAGCGGGCCGGGCGGTGTCGCTCCTGCTGCAGATCGTGTAAAAAAATAAAAAATAAATAATAATAATAATAATAATAATAATTGAAAGCGGCTCGCAGCATCCCCTCTCCTCGCGCGCACTCTTTATCGGGACAGCGACGCATTCGGCGCACACGTGCAAAAGCGCTTTCGTCCTGCCACGCGGTGATCGAGACCCGGCCGGCCGGAGGCAATGCGACATCCTCTCGGTTACATCACGTCCAGCCGGACGGGTCGTTTGAGCTGACACGCAAACACGCATGTTGGAAACGATGCGGTCCAGGAGCTCGGCCAATGCTGTGTCAGCGTTCTTCATCATCATCATCATCATCATCATCCTGCAACGCAGCAGCATCAGAGAAACTGGATCAGCCTGCTTTTAATGTATGCGTGCGTGCACGCGGCCCCTTACCCTCAGTTACTTCTCCTAGAAGGCTTTCATTCTCATCATCCCGGGCAGAGAAGAACTTCAGCATCGTATCCTGTTACATCTGAGTGCAGGGAAAGCAGCCGTGGCTTGCCCAAAAAGCAGAGAACGAGATGATTCCTCCTCCTGTCTTATAATAACCCCTCCAACCCCCCACCTCAACTCTCTCTCTCTCACAGAGACCCCCCCACCTCCCCGGTTTCTCTCTGCAGCTCTTTGAAGAAATCCAAGAGGTGTGCAGAAAACGTCCCTCCCCAGCTTGCTGTCTACACAGCCCGCAGGACAGCGTGCGAGCCAAGTTAGCAGTGCATAGATGCCAACCTTATGCACAATCTGTCAGGCTGTTTCAGCAAGTCAGCATAAGCACAAAACCTCTGAGGGAGTGCTTATGAAACGTTATTAACAAGTTAATAATGTTTCTGCGTTCACCACAGCACTATGTAAACAAAAATAAAAATAAAAAATGAAAGAAAATGTTTGTCACATTTATTTTGCCATAAACAAAGTTGTTTTAAGACCTTCTGCGTATAACTTGTTATCTTCACGGTGATTAACAATAAGGTGGTGAGACTTGAGCCAGGTTTTCCACACGCCAGCCTGACTCGCTGGGGACACTGTAAAGTAGAAAAGTCTCTGGGATTGTTGATGATATGTGAAATGCAGAGAGATGTTTCTGCTTCTTCTTGGTCCAGCCCAGTCCACGAGGTCATCAACATCCGCGCTAGTTGGCCTCGTCCTTTGAAGCTTCGTCGAAGTTCTCCACCAGATCTGCGACAAGGGGAGCAGACGCGCCGTTATTTACGCGGCTTCAATGCTTTGCAATTTATCATACGGTTCCAACATGTTCGCACTTTTTTCCACAAACTTCCGAGTACTGTACTGATATTTTAAAGATACGGAGGAGGACAGAAGAAGAAAAACAGAGAGGAGGAACAACGAAGGGAGGAAAGCGAGGAGGAAAACAAAAAACGAAATCACTGAGGATGACGTAAAAAAAAAAAACAGATCAAGGAACAGAGAAGAAATAAAGAGGAGACATTTTTCAAAAATGTCAGAATGTTAATGTCAGATGTAAGCGTAATTCACTGATACAAATATTCTATATTTGTTTCTAGAGGCACATCCTATTGTCTGTAATGTCGGTTTTGGGGGACTGGACAAGCTGAACATGAACAAAATCTGCCAGGAGTTTGTTGAATCCGGCGACACCTGAGGAAGTACATCTAGTTCTTTTATTTAGAGAAGTGGTGCTTATCTTCTGTGAGGCGGAAATGGTTTTAGTGTGGCTGACAGACGCTGTAGTTTTTCACGGACGGACAGATAAGCTCATATACAGCAGATAAACTGTATGGATGGCTAAAACATTTGATTTATTTCTAAGCCTACCGCTACAACTTATCATTTAAAAGTATAGGTGCTGTGCATTTATGAGTGGGTGCAAATACATTCCGCTGGATGTAATCATAAAAGTGGATCTTCCGCCTAGTGCAATTGTTTACGTTGCTGGTTAAACACAGAAAAACCTGTTCATGGACTAATAGAGAACAATGCTATAGCTTCTACTATTCATTTTCACAGCATTATTCAAACTTACTGAGGACTCAACCAAACAAGACAAAGGAGCAGAAACGGGAGAGCGTGTGCTGGAGTTCCAACTAGTTTCAAGAGTTTTTCTGCCAAACAATTTCAAACTGAAGTTAAATGTAACTCTGCAGCTCCTCCCGAGTTGCAACAGGTTTTAGGGAGCTCCTGTAAGTAACGCTCTCCTTGCCAGGCCTTTCAGTTTAGGTCACTGGACGTGTCCGAGTAGGTCTGGAGTTGTGCCGTGCTCTTTCCATTCTCAGACGATAGACTGTGCAGGTCTCAGTGAGGCGATCGAAGCGTGGGACATTGTTTTATAACCCAACTTGGCATCAGCTTTCTCCCTGAGCCGCCCGCTGTGCTCCTCGGTCTTTATGACGCTGTTTGTTCTCCGATATTCTCTAACAAACCTCAGAGGTCACAACAGAACACTTGGATTTGTACTGAGATTAAATCACACAATGTCAGCACTGTACGCTGGAGTTACTCTATTAGATTTAGCGAGCGCGTCAGAATCTTCATTGCTTACAGAGTCTCTAAACAACTGTGACGCTGACAAAGAACGTACCTGGAACCTCATCATCCTCTTCCTCAATGTCTTCTGGTTTTGGAGGTTTGCCATCGAGAGCTGAGAGAGAAGAAAAATCCAAAACTTAAAACTAACATTTCCCTTGTGGCAAATCAAATACCAGGAAGATTTATTTTCAATAACCTGTTGTTACTGAATTTCTAAAATACATAATTTCATGCTATTTAATAATATCTAACTGCCATTGATGAGTTTACTTAAATTATATGGTGATAATGTATTTAGTGTTTTTTATTCTATCATAATAAACATAAAAATAATTTTATATACATTTATATATATATATAAATAAAATAGTGGGGAAATTATAACTATACAAAAGAGAGAAAGGACTCAGGAACATGTGGGTAACTCATCACAGACATTATTATTGCAGTATTCTGCAACAGTACTGCATTTACACACTTTCATTTAATCGTACAGCTAACCATTCTGTGTATGAAGCAGACTGGAGATCTTAGTTTCAGAACAAAATGTAATTATTATGAGAACAAGCTTGGATGCAAATGAGTGGCGTCAAAGACATGTACAAAATAGTGATTCCAGTAACAAAGATTAATCTTGATGTGCTGCACTCTTGATAATAGAGAAATAACTTCTTCCTTATATACCTGTAACTCATCTAGTAACTTGCTGAGGTGGATCGCTTTTTTCAGTAAACAGACGAGTCCATATATTGATATTTAACTTAATAAGCGAGTTATGTATTCATTAGCTGAAATTGGACCAAGATCTCCCAAACTGCTGCACCCACCATCTTGTCTCTATTGATACGGAGATTCTTTCAAAGGTTTTGGGTAAAATTATCCCCCCCAGTCTTAGACGATCAAGCAATCAAATCTGGTGACGTATTTGTGCCACTTTATTCTTCTTCTCAGGATGACAAAATATACACAAGTCACCATTTTTAGGCAGCTCCTTATTTCTCCACACCAACAGCTGCAGACACAAATCTTTGGCTCGACCTGCACCCACCTTGCCGGGGGAAGTGTTCAGCCAGCTTCCGCAGGCTGCTGAGGCTGTCCCCTCCCAGCTGACTGAGGATGCTGGGAAGCATCTCTGTGAGCTGCTTGGCCTCAGCGTGGCCTGTGATGGCGAACGTGTTGGCGGACAGAGACGCCTGGACCTTGGGGTTGTTAAAGTGGATCACAGTCCCGTCGTCCTTGATCATGTTCACCTGGAGCGGAGAAAGAATGGATTAAGTCTCAACATGTTTGACGTGCTGCGAAGTAAAGGAAGCTGGCCGGGTTATTATGAAACGTAAAAAGCGCTTGATTTCGAGGTTTGTACCTCCTCGATTCCAGCTATGTTGTTGACAACCAACTTCTTCAGTGAACTCTGGAGCTTTTTGTCGTCTGCCGTTGCGGTTCTGTGCACCACCTTCTTCTTCCTGCGCGCTGAGCCCTGAAACCAAAACACAAAAAAGCTCTTCAATGATAAAGCCGCTTGCAAAAGTGCAAAGATCTGGAAGAGGTGGGTAAAGTCGTGGTTGAAGTCGTGATTTTGGGGCTGAATATGGTTTGAATACTGTAACAGTTTTTTGTTTTACGAGACAAAGCAAAACCTGATTTTAATTCATTAATCTGAGTCTAAAACTTTTAATATTTCAATATGCTTAATCCGTCTGGTGCCTACCTCAATTTCACAGAGAGTAATGTATGGAAAACAGTGTTGAAGCAAATTATTCAACTCTAGTCGATCAATAATCTGAAAATGGAAAGTGTATGGTACAATTGGAAACCCACCCAGACACGGTTCTCCGCCTAAAATACCGGTTGATGCATCAGAGACCCTTAGTGACTCTAGGGGAGCTGGAGAGATTCGTAGCTAAAGTGTGAGAATCTGTTGTCAGGAACACCAGAAGCTGTATAATCTACCAGTCTGGTTGTTATAGAAAATTAAAAAAAGGAAGTCAAAGTGGAATGAAAGCCATAAGAAGTTGCACTGTGGTGTGAACAAGTGGGCAAAGGGACTTGAAGTCAATAAGGTGGATATTCTGGAGTGGCCCAGTCAAAGTCCACACCTAGATCCCCAAGACCTGACAGAGCTTCACCAATTCAGCAAGGAGAAAAATGCAGGATCCAGTCTGAGACTCCATGCTGTGATTGCAACCAAAGGTGCATCTGTCAGTTATTGACACGAATGGGGTGAATATTGTATTTAATTCTCATTATTTGTAGGAATTAGTTTTACATTAACATTCGAGAGAGGGGAGGGGTATATTTTATGTAAAAAAAAAATTGTGATTGATTTGTAAAAAAACAATAAAAGAGCAAAGCATTCAAGAGAGTGAATACTTTTGTAGGCACTGTATTTCTGCATCTTGACAGTCTGGATCTTTCTTTCCTTTTTTTGTCCTCGGTGCTTTATTTTTATTTTTTTGTCACACGTTTTTAAGACCAGTGTGAATTGCACAGCTCACCTTTCCTCCTATCCGCACCTGGGCTTGAAGCTTTGCCAGTTTCTCTTGATTCATGTTGTCACCTGCCAGGAAACCACACAGTGACATTAGCAGCATAAAAAAAAGAAGATAAAAAACACATAAATAAAAGAACTACCGACATGGTAGCTGCTTTCATTAGCTTCAACGTTAGCTCTGCCTTTCAGAAACACCGTGCAGAAAGAAAACAGATCCATCACACACGCTTTCAACTGGAAGCCAGCTGATGCCATCATCATGTCAATTTGTCCAACAGCTGCACACACGATCCTGCACACAGCCGCTTCCTCTCCTCTGTGCGGGAAACAACAGCCTCACAGTCCGCTCACGCAAACACGCCGCAGTCTGAACCAACCTGCGCAGATCTCCCCAGATGTTTGCAGCAGAGAAGCGCACAGCGGCGTCTTTCCGTTCTTCTTCGTTTCCGACCAGAAATGGAGACCTGAGGTCGGGATTATGCTGACACCTACTGGACGTTTAGCTTATTGCAAAAACAAAACGATTGCTTTCTCGTTTTGATTGGAGAAAAAAAACGTGAATTTTACACCAGAGTTCTGTTTTAATGACACTGTCTGGTCCCAGTGAGGCCATTTATAAATAAGAAATTAAATGGTATGCCTCTTACTTATGTTGCGTTTGACATTTTATTCAACTTTGCAAATTTGTGTTGGAGAGCTTCATTTCACACTTAATTTTTTTTAACTTTATGATCCTGCCTTGATGTCTGGTTTAATGATGCACAATAATTGTCAGAGTTTTTCCAAATAGTTTTCCCATGAATACCTTTGTATTCTTGAGGAGGGTATGAAAGGATGAGGAATGAAGGGATGAAAGGATGAAGGGATGTAGAGTTAACGGTTTTCTTATTTTCCTGAGCCCTTGTAGGACCCCCCAGGACGGAACCTGTAGCAAAAGAATCAAAGTATAGTTTCGAATGAAGAGGGATGAGAGGGTGAGGAAGGGTGAGGTTGACGAAAAGGTAACAGACTGAGATGAATGGGTGACCGAAGCAAAACTAGGCTGCTTAGAATGATTAAGAGTTGTGGTTTGCACGTGGTCCTGCTTCTGAACCTAATACATTAACTTCATCGCTGGAAAATGTGGCCTGCGGAGAGTTGCATTTTGCTGTGAGGTCTTAATAGTTCACAACTAATAATTGTTTTTATTGATAGGCTCTTCCACCTGAGTTGTAGATCTGTGTATATCCTCCATAATCTGTTGGCTGCTTCTCCTCACTCAGCCTGTCAATTTAAGTGGATAACTTTGTTTTGGCATCCTTACGGATGCGCTATACACCTTTCATTGTAACGTAAGACGAACAGAATTCAAATCTAACATACAATATACATAAATTGTATTCTGTGTGATTGAGACTGTATTTGCCGACTTCTATTTATAATGTTTGCACTTGACATAACTGACTTTTACAAGCTGGCATGTTGGAGTAGCACTAATGCAAACAATAGCTCATAAAGTAATCAAGGTAATGAAACTATCACACTAACATTATGACATAACATGTATTAGTTTAATGCTTGTAAGTCATTCAAAACATTTTACCCAAAAATCAGCCATTTCTTTTGTGAAAGTAAACTAGAGAAGTGGAGAGAGATTTGTGCTGTGGGGCTCTATTAGCTCAATGAGCAGCGTTTCTCCCAACATGTGAGAAACCACTATAACCACTATAGTTTGCATGACTTTATTTTATTACGGCTTCAATAGCGGGAGCCATTTACAATGAAATCCGTAAAGGTCGAAACAAAAAGTCTCGGCCATCTTACATTAATCGGCTCACACTCCAGGATTTTTGAAATAACCTTTCTGTGTAATGGAATTATGCAGAAATGTTCACATCCTAAACGGTTTAATAAAAAAACAAGGTCAATATTGATCAAATTACAACAGTGGTTGTTATTGTCATGCAAGTACAGCCCGAAATCATTCATTCACATTTCACGGCAAAGTGGTACGATATTCTGGAGCTGCACTCAAAACAGAGACACTAAGCTTCAGTAGAACAACAAATGGTGGAAATAATCCTCCAAAATGTCTTCTAAGCACTTAAAATTTCAGACAGTTTTGGTCTGAGCCACTTGCGGAACAAAGATGATTCTCAATGAGATGTTAAAATGCATTCAGAGCAGAACTGCATTGCCGCTTGTGTAGTCAACCAGCGACGAGTGAATTCTTCCACCTCCTGGTCCTGTTTTTTCTTCAGATCAAACATTTCTGGCCAAAGTTCAGGTGATGGATTGGACGGCAGTGTCTGGCAGGGGCTGTCTACTGTAGCGGATGCAGTAAGATTTGCTCGGCTCCCCCGAGCTGCCGAGCGTGCTGCGCTGCCAGCGGTGGAAGGTGGGAAGCTTTGAACCCCAGCAGCTGTGAAACAACATGAAGATTTTCCTCAGGACGGCCTTCCTCAGAAGGATGTAGACCCAGGGGTCCAAGATCTGGTTCCATGTGGCCATCCGTACCGTTGTCAGCAGATTGAAACTGGACGGTTCATCTTTAGCTCTGGTGCTGAGAATTATCACATGGACCTGGAGCACAGAATAATACAAAGTGAAACACTAGAATACCTTGAATTTGAGTTTGTTGGCCAGTAATTCCAATGAAAGATAGAAAGAATTGCTGAAAAAAACCCAAAAATCAACATTTTATGCAAAACTAAAGTTTTTCTTATTTTATGCAAGACGTCATAATCGATATTTTGTCAATGACTAAGTTATCTGTTCAAAGACTTTGATTTGCGTTTTGGATCATGAAGTGGGTGAACACCCCATGTGACTTCAGATGACAATCTGAAAGGAGATTGACCCGAATGTTCAAGAACAACCCAGGAACCTCCAGAAGTTAAAGACAATCACAAACTAAAAGATGCTTGAACTCCAGTGTCTCTGTCCACAGTGGAGCGACTTTATTGTCACCACGGACAACGAGCTCAAAACACACATAATGGAAAGGGTAATGCAGCCTAACATTAAGCTTCTCAAACACCCACGACCTGAACCACAACGAAGATTTGTGGATGACATTTTAAAGCTGGGTCCTTTCCAGGGAACCAATCAATTTGAATGAGCTCTACTGTTTCTGATTGCAGCATTTTAATATGCAGACAGAAACTTGCTTAATGCTACAAAGAGAGTATGATTTTTCTACAATTTGCTAAGGCATATATTAGTGGGAGGCAACATCTGCATATTTGAGCCTATAATTTTGATTCTGATCACATTAGAGAAAAGTTACGAAATTAAAATAAAATAAGCATGCATACCATAATTCTGACAACAATGTAACCGAGTGAGTAAATAAAAAAAATAATAAAGATAGGAAATGGAAAGCCCAGGATTATACTTTGACTCATTAAGGTTTTAATCTCACTCTCAAAACCTCAAACTCCAACAAATATATAGCCAATGAAGCTCTTTGTATTGGCTCCCACAAAATAGTGAAATTCTTCCCATCAAATCTGCTAACTAACAACACACTGAGAGCAAGTGCTTACCAGTAATGGCCCCCAGCACACGCAGGACACCAGCATGATAGCCAGCAGCTGGCAGATCATCTCCAAGTGATAGGACGTGCCTCTGCAACCGTGTTTGTGGCGCAGCCTGCCGTGCAGCAGGGCACAGCTTGCCAGCGTGTTGCACACAATGGAGATTAGCAGAGCCAGCAGACCCAGAACGGAGAAGATTAGAGGCAGCAGCACATCCAGCCAGTCTCTGGGCTGCTCCATGTGGAAGAAGCACCAGCTCCTGGACCTCTGAACCTCATAGGGTCTCCACAGCAGCACAGGCAGCAACGCCACCAGGGCGGCGAGCAGCCAGGTGAAACCAAGCAGCCTTTTCATGAGGTGCGAGGACAAGACTGCTGAGTGGAAGATGGGCTTGGTTACGCCGATGAAGCGCTCCACAGCCATTGCACTCGAGAGAAGCAAGGGGCTCAGACCGTAGAACACCATGCACACCCCGAAGATGTTGCAGACGATGCCATGCGGGTCAAAAGTGTCCCACTTCCTGTGAAAGCGGTAGACATGCAGCACCAGAGAGCCATTGATGAGGTGACCCAGCAGGTCAGTGGTCACCAGGCTGCTGGCAAACAGCAGGAAGGACGCCTTGGACTTGACGCGGTGGCGACTGTAGGATTTGATCAGGATGAAGAGGGCGAAGCTGTTGGAGAAGATGCCCACCGTCATGGAGATGACGGATGCAGTGACAGACAGCTCCTTATGGCAGCAGGTGGAGTTGGATCCTCTGACCTCTGACCTGTACTGGGTTTCAGAGCTCTCGTTGGACGACATGACTTATTACAATCTCTAAAAAAAAAATTAAAAAAATTGAAAAACATATTCAATCTACTTGAATCATAACTTTGCAAGTATTTTGTGCTTTTCTTGTATCCTCATGTTCATAAATAAAATCTGCTGTAAAAGTATTTTCAAATCAAAGGATATTGCAGAACACAGTTAAATAAATAATGATCCAGCAGCTCATTAAAACTGGTAATTAAATCAAATTCAACACCTGGATGACGCTCTTGTTAAACGCCTGAAAATGTCAGAAGAAGAAGGACTTCTCACCTCCAGTTTGGTTTGCTTTGCTGTCTCCTGTGGTAAACAGCCTCCCCAACTCGCTGTCTTTTGAATCAGCAGAATCAAAGGCACATCTCCCCGTCTCATGGTGAATGCCACTGAAAGTCGCTGTTCCGCCTTCGCTCGGCAGGTGGAAACCTTGGTGAGAGAGCAAAGACGAGGCGAGCTGCGCAGGACGCATCACCGACTCAGACGCATCTTCAAAACGTTTGCATTTGAAGTATCTTTTCTTGGGGAGGAGGGGACAGAAAAAACAAACCGAATGTCCTATTTTTTTCTTTCTTTCTTTTTTGTTTTTTTTTTTTTGTCAGGCGAAAATCTGACCTGGCAGTGAAACAAAATTGTGTCAGTTGTTAAATTGCTTGACACTTGACACCCATTTAACTCAATTGTGCTTCTCTTTCAACACAAGTCAGAAAAATGGACGTAAAGACCCAGGTGGGAGTGTGACTGTTCAGCCCACTCCCACCCAGGCAGGACCTGTAGGCATGATGATTTCAAAATTGGGAGCAAGGAAAAGTTGACAGTTATTTATTTTGCAGTGTCAGACTTTTGAGAACTTCGAAGTCATTTCCTGTCAGGTCAAAATATAAACATTTAGGTAATAATAATAATAATAAGGAGATATACAATGTTTTAAAACTATGTGGACATTAAGTTTAGAGAGCTTGTTCTAAAGATTTTTTGGGGGGTTACGTTAGAAAATGGAAACAGCAACAGCAAGAAGAAAATAAAGTGGAAGAAAAAAATATAGCTCTGAGACGATGGAGAGTCAGATGAGGAAGCCCCTTTATGCTTTTTTTAAGAAGTCGTGATTTGTCAGTGAAATGCATTTTAGTATGCCAGTCACAGGAGAAAGTTTCCGGATTTAACAAGAAATAAAACTTTTCTCTTAAAAAACAAGTTTTGTATCCCGTTACATCAAGAAACTCTCTTTAATTAGATGCTTCTCAGTCCTTGGGGAATCAATTGAGTAGTGTCATAATTTTACTCATAAAGTTTGCAGATTTGCAAGGTGGAAACAAAAGAAACAGCAAATAAATAACTCAGTGTCCTCAAGGTGAAAGGTCAGGGCTTTTTTCATCAATCCAGACCCCAAAGTCCAGTGTTGCTCCCTTGAAGATGCACTAAAAGGTAAAATTTGTGTGTACATCTTGCATTGAGTCAAAGTACAAAATGCAGAGAAACAATTGCCATTGGCTGGTTTTGCTAAGGGTAACGATTGCTTTTACTGAGCCATAACACTTCAAATCAAATCAAATCAAATTTTATTTTTTATAGCACAATTCAGCAACGAGGCATTTCAAAGTGCTTCACATCACAACAAGCACAAAAACACATAGTCAACATAGAATCAACAATCAAAGCATTACATTAAGCCAAGTGCTGTCATTAAATTCGTAATTGGTTTTCAGCCTTGGAACTGGAACATAATTTCCCATCTCCAGTTAAGTTTGCAAAATTTGCAATGTAGAAAGTTAATTTTGAACATATAACCAATTTTCTTGCCTCATTTTCTTCTGTCTTGATAATCACACCCAACGGTGAACAGAAAATATCTTCCACGTCTCTGCCTCCATAACAAGCTGTTTCCTCCTCTCAACCTGGATTCACGCTTTCAGCTGAATCAGAAAGGTCATCGTGTCGATTAAGCCTCCTGACGTCAGCAGCAACTGAAGCACCTTGTTGAAACTTTTCAAGCACTTTCTGAGAATTGCTCTCATGTTCAATTCAATGTATTCATTCAACCTCTTGGCCAGAATCCAGGTAAGGCAGCAGAAATCACTTCAGCCAAAAATATTGCTCACTCTGTGGGTATCATTATGAAATTATTCCCCTTCGTTGCCCAGTCAATGTCTAGCACAAAGTTATCAACGCTGAAAACTTCCGGCTGTAATCACAGCACAAAGGCGGATTCAAGGCTATCTACAAATTTGCTTTGGTCAAATACATAGAATTACAATAAAGTAAAAGAAGGTTTGTGACCGCAATGGGACAAAATGAGGAAAAAGTTCAAAGGTTCGGAATAATTTCACAAAGCTGTGAACGCACAATGCTCACATCTTATTTCTTGTGGTTTGTGTTTTGGTGTGAAGAAAATTCTATGTATCATTACCTTTTATCTTAGAGGGATTGCTTCTTCAGAAATTCCAAATACATTCCAAAAAGTTTACCTTTAAAAATACCTTTTGTCGATCCCTGCATGCGCCGTCAGTCAAAAACAGACATACATGCACCATTTCCCAATGCACAAAAGCCTTCAAGACGGTTTAATTAGATTAAAACAAAGACAATTGCTTTTATTAGTTCTTGGGTCATTCATTAAGGGACGAAACACAAAGTGAACCTCAGAGGCATGCTGCAACAGACTGCGAGGGGAAATCCAAACATCATTCTATGTATTTTGCTTTACTTTGAACAGATAAAAAAAGGCATGCATGCAAGTCGTCAATGTTGATCTAATGCCTCTGTTTGAGGATGTGTTTTTCTTTTTTTCTTTTCTTCTTTTGGAAACAGTTTGTTGGAGCTCTGATGAAACTTTTGTTTATCAAATTGAAATATTCAGGGTTTTTTTTTTGTTTTTGTTTTTGTTTTTTTTACCTCAATAATAAAGTCACAGGAAAAACAATTTAGGCTTATGTACAAAATGATGATGTTTAATTCTTAAATGAAAAAAATAAAATTACATACCCGAAATGAGCTCCCTGCCTGAGGCTTCTTGAGATGTAATATTTTCTCTAATACTTTTTTTTCTCAGGCTTTTAAACATCTATATCAGTGTGTGAGAGTGTGTATCTGATTAACATCCTTCCTGGATACCTTTGATGACTTAACAGGTTATTAAACACTCAGCTTATCTTTTAGTTTTCTGGCACTTTGCCGCCTCTTGAGAAACAACAAATTTTGCTCATTTTTTTGTTAAGCCTCCTGAGAAATGTGCTTTTCAGATATCAGCAGTTCGAGGGACTCCAAAACACAGTCTGACACCTGTCTGATGTACAAGTGGTATAATTTTACTAAATAAATAACAATGAGTCCACCAGCTGCACAAAGCGAAAAGAACGAGGAAAGAAGATAAAGCAGCTTCCTTTTTCCTTTCATTCAATTGTGATCTTTTTGCTCTGAAATGGAATCAGTGATGCCTGTTCTCTTAGATGTAACAGAACCTCTTGTCATCTTGAAGTGGTTATGAAACCTCTCCCTCCCGCTGAGCTCTCTTACTTAGTCTATGGATCACTAATTACGCCGCCGGGACAGTCCCAATGCAAACGTCTTTAGTGACATTACACCCTCCAGTGTTGTGTCAGACTCTGTCTCCAAGCGGCAGAGAAGCTGGTAACAATGTGAGGGGAGATAAGGCACGAGAGAGAGAAGGGGGGGAAAAAAGACATTCTTTTGTTGCCTGCACCAAATGTGGCTGCTCTAATAGACTGACAGCCTCTGCAGGGCTTTAGACTGAGCCAGAAGGAAATTGGGCAAAATGGGAAAATAACCCATAATTCATGCTCTTCTCCCCCAGCAGCTAAGCTTCCTTCCCAGTATCTCCATAAAATCACTAAGACGCTCAGAAGACAAGCTTCACAGACAAGAGACGGACCTTCTGTTCTTGTACGTTTTCTCTGCTCTTGTCTTGTTCCTCCGCCTCAACGTCTGCCCCGCTGAGCCAAACTGTTAATCGGGCAAAGTTGCAGCAGAGCTCATCAACCCGCCTAATCTCTTGACTTGATGTGCCACAAAGGCAGGGGATTTCACTGGAGAGCAGCAGATCCAGGGCTGGGGAAAACACTCAGTTAGTTGAAAGAAAAAAAAAGAAAAAAAACCTTCAGTCGGATGGCATCTGCTTCCAAATCTCAAAAATAATAATAATAAAATACAACAGCAACAGACAATATAGTTGATTTTAAAATATTTCATAATTTAGAAGTCTTTTTAACTCAAATTAAATGACACTCTGATCAATAAATAACAATTAACAAATTCAGAATGAGGATTTGGACTTATGAGAAAAAGAAAATGTTTTCTTGCTAACATCATAAAGCATCCCAGTCTGTTGCTACATTTACTTTTTGACCTTCGATGAGTCTTTCTCATGTTCCCACATTGTCAATACCTGGCATTCATCCACCACTGTTCAATACCTTAATGGTCATGAGGGGCCATTCATCGGCTGAGAGGCACGGTGCACCGTGGAGTGGTTGCCAAGCCATTCAAGGGAAACACAAAGACCCACAGGACAAACTAATACTCTCACCAAAGGGTAATTTAGGTGGCTAATTAAGTACACACACTGTAAAAGAAAACAGCTCAGTTCCAGTCAGCTGGACTGATTTATTCAAGCAGACCACATTACCTAATTTAACTTGTAAAAATATGTTAGCAGAACTTCAATTTTAAAATAGAGAGAAATAAACTAGAACTCATCCATTCTCTCTAAATAAGAAAATGACTTACAGCGGTGAGAGCAAGCCTACTCTACAGCATGGTACACTCTTAAAAAACAAACACACACAAAAAAAACAGAACGTTTCATGTAATGGCAATCTACTTAGAGCATTGTTTGCATGTTGTGTTTGTGTAACTTATTGATTTATATATATATATATATATATATATATATATATATATATATATATATAATATATATATATATATATATATATATATATATATATATATATATATATATATATATATATATATATATATATATAAACATCTGAGTTGTAAATATTGTCCACTTAAGATTTTTTCTTAACTTGATTTTTTTGTTTCTTTGCAAAAAAAAAAAACAATTTGCAGAGCTGAGCTTCCCTAAAGTAGTCTCGTGTTTGTTCTCCATGAAGCCAACAGATTGTGAAGATGAACCCAAAGGAAGGTTGCAGGAGCCCTTTGGGTTTCAGAAGATGTGAGTGAACCACTCCCATATTTCCATGAGGATGCTTCCATTATGCATGAGGAGAACATTGTGACTGTCACCTTCCTGACCTCACCAGTGCTTTTTTGATGCCAATGGGACTAACCCTAACCCATCCCAAGGACATCAAATATGCTGTTGAATTTATCCAGCATCTCTTCTTGGGAATTGGAGCAGACCCAGGCTCAGTTAGGGTCCATACCCTAAATAAGATAAGGCTGAAGTGAAGTGACCACATTATACAGTTTATCATGTGTGTTGCAACTCTATGAAAATGTTCAATCAACTTAATAGTGTGAAAACAGTGATTTTAAAAAATATATTTTCCTAACTTGTCTTTTGATTTTAATATAAATGACGGAAAAATTTATATCAATTTAGTTAAAGTTGTAGAAATAGCTTTGATTAAGTGTTTTGAACTTGACAGTTAAAATTGATGCAACTTAACCGAGTTAAAGCGACAAGGAAACTAGACTGAATCAAGATTAATGAGAAAATCTTTTCCAGTGCATGCATGGAGCAATTGACAAATCATAAACAACAATGTTTTGCAGTATTAATTGGTTGCAGTGATATTGTTACATAATTTAAGCTTTAACACTAGAAAATGACACGTAAACTCCTGCCCAGTTCCATCACTTATGGTGGTAAAACAGACTGCAAAGGTCACTACTATCCACCAGGAGGCAGTGCAGGCTCAATAAAGACTTAATACTTGGTTTAATGCACTTTTCAATGAATTCTGGCTCTAAAAATAGTGCATAATGTAAAGGCAGACAAAATTTGGTGATAAAATGTGAATCTCAACGAACTCATCCATGAACAGTTATCTCAGAACAATCACAGCTCTGCAGGATGGTGGCATTTTGCAGGCTAGCTGATAAGGCTGAGCTATAACAAATAGAGCAGCTGAGTAACTGGGGAAAAAAACAGGCTGCACTTATCAACAGCAGGTATGTGGATACGGTGGATGTGGTGTGTGTCAAAATGGATATTGCTGCTGAGGTTTTATTTTGTTTGTTTGTTTGTTTTTTTGTCCTGGTTGCCACTTTCTTCACCGAACAATCACAGCAAAACACAGGTGAGATCACAACAGTTACGATGGAGGCAAGGTGAGGATGGTTGACTTTTCTAATGGTTTGCCTTCAGTCTACCTGATGGTAGCTGTCTGTTCTCGTCTATTTCTTCGCATCTGTTTTTCTCAAAAGATTTCCTCAACATTACATGACAACATTACATCCTGTTTAATTACAGGATCTGATCCTGTAATTAAAGTATGCAGCTCATTTTTGGATTCCCAGTTTCTTCAAGCTTGTTCATTAATCAGAGACGTTTTATTCTTTACTGGAAGCTGAGATAAATGTTGATCTTAGATTTGTGTAGAAACACTTTCATTATTTTCTAAATGTTTCTGAAATCAAGGGAAATAAAACAAAAAAAATATCCAACAGGGCATCGACTTGAATTGACTCTTGTTTTGTTGCAAGGTTTACTTTTTATGCCTTTAGAAAAGTATCATGAAGGGCCTTTGATTGATGTGCGGGACTCACAGTGCTTATGTAAGAATGAATCAGTGGACTTAGCATGGCTCGCCGGCGCTGCATGGCATTTTCTCAGAGCACCTGAGAGCTTTCTAGCATTAGGATTCCACCCGAGTGCAAGCAGTTGTGGTAAATGTGAATGAACAGGCGGCAGCCAGAGTGTTTGTCCCCAATTCGCCGTGCTCCTCCCCTTCCTCTTTTTTTGCAGGGCGACACATCATGAATGCTGCTAGACAGATTGTACCTGTGTGAGGAAATGTGGTTGGAGAACGACACACGACTCTGTAATAACAGCAAGCTCCCCTCTTTCCCACAGTCCTACACACTGAGACAGGATTATGGGTCTGGACTGAGGAGGCTGCTGGAGATGAGTTGATGTCATTTTGTTTTATCTCAGCAGCAGCTCTGTTTTTAACTGGAACAAAAGTCTCTGAGGACGTGTTCTGATATTTGGCTTTAATTACAGTGGTTTGGAATATGAGACACAATCTGCCAAGAAGAATCAATGGATACAAAACACGGGAACAAAAGACAGCAATTTTTATATTGATTAACAAATTGCACTGAAATGGGGCTGTTGGTGTTATTGCCGATCAGCAAGGACTTTGCAGAACTTGCTCATGTGTGGGTTCTCTCTGGATACTCCAGCTTCCTCCCACACTGCAATACTATGATTCTAAGGAGAAAAGCCATTGATAACCTTTTTTAAAATATCTTCTTCAGTGGTTATTATTTTTGTTTCGAGTGTTTGTGAACCACCAGCAATAAAATCACTGTGTCCCTGATAGTGGAGTAATATTCAATCAAAATCTTTGCCTTTGATTGCTTGCTGGGGGAACAACCAGTTTGTCCTCCTGTCCTGTTTCTCACTGCTCAAGTTATTTTAAAAAGTGTTTAAATGATGGCCTCACTTTATTCTTAAGCACAAAATTATTCAGTCCACCTGCAAATGTATTTTTAAAGTAATTGTTAAATTTACCAATAGGTTTCCTCTAGTAGGATGCAACTTAAAAGATTTCCAGCCTCAGTCTATAGAGGGAGCATAAGATTAATTTGGGGTTAGTAGGCCCCCAAATATAAATGAAGACTTTTATTTATTCTCCTTTTACACTCTTGTATTCTTTGACATAAATATTTTATTTGAATAAAAATAGTTTAAAATATAAAGCCAGCAGAGGTGTAAATATTTTACTGAAACGTAGCATCACAGGGATGTCTGCGCTTTAGTTCTGACTGCTGAAACACAAAGCTGTGCTTTACTAAAATGATTCCATTATGATATTCATCCTTGCATAGTTACAGTACGCTGCTGTTGTGACCCCATTCTGTCATGCTGCTACAGTCAGCCAGCAGGTAAAAGCAGCTTCTTCCAGCATTTAGTCATTTCCCGAGCCAGGTCAAGGCAGAAGTGAACTAAACCACAGCCTCGGGTCACTAGTCCATTACGGTGCCGACTGGAGCCGTTGGATTATCAAACAGAGCTGCAAATAGTGCAGTGAACAAGTATTTCACCCCGTACTCTTTAAGGAAAATCCACCTGAGGTAACCTGGGGCAGTCTCAGCAGCAACATCTGCCATAGCGTATTTCTGATAACTGTCTTTTTCTGTAAGGATGGTATTCTTTTTCTGAAATATTATTTTACTCGTTTACCCTCTAAAAAGTTTCACTTTTGTCCCATCAGTGCATTGAACATTATCACAAAAAAACATATATCTTTAAGATTTTTTTCCATTTTACTTTATTTTATCTAACAATGTTAGTCTGGCCTTTGCGGTCTTTTCGGTCAGAGGCGGTTTAGGCCTCTCATCGGTGTGACATCTGCCCAAGATTTTTCTTATTGTTGCATCATAAAAAACAACTTTAGCAGAGGCAAGTGAATCCTGCTTTGCTTTAGATATTGGAAATAAGTTGCTTCTCGCAGTGATCGGCCTTTCCAGGCCGATAACATGCCTATGAATTTTTTGCATTCCTGTTTGGTTTATTCACAATGAGTCCTGATGTGTCACTTTTTGCCTCAGAAATTTGCAGCACTGTTTCAAAAATACATAAAAAAGAACTGAATGTTATTTGACATTTCATTTACTAAAGAAATATTTACCTGATGTTTTGATAATTGTGCCATTTTTATCACATTTCACACACAGTAACAGTTTGCAAATAAGTCTAAAACAGAACCGAATAATTTTCAGTATATGATTGTAAGGAATTTATTTACAGATTACAGGTAATTTATCCTAAAATGTTTTTTTTTTCAACACATAAAAAGTCTAGTACTGTAGTATGATCCTATTTGAATGTGATGTCAAAAACCTAGTCCGGTTCAACCTTGGGCCAGCCCTGGTTGATCTGAGGGGGAATATTCTCCCTGGAAACTGGAAACTCTCTCCTGCAGGGATCGTCTGTGGAGACAGATTCAGGATCCGGCTGGACTCGGAGCTCGTGAGTTGTTCACATGTGTGAAGACGGGCGTGGGCTTCCAGTCCGGCTGGTAAAAGTGGATGTTCAGAGTTTGAGCCCAGTTTGAAAACACAGTCTTCTCCGTGATGAACCGGTGGTGGCTTCCTTTCCGACTCCTCTCGTGAAGGAGGTACATGGCGCACTCGTCTGGCCCCGATGGCTCGTAGTAGTGATACGGGACCGTGGGATGTAAAGAGGATCTTCGTGGGGGGAAGAGGGAGAGAGGGACGAGTTAGACTTGAAAGTGAAAGCGCGAGGAAGGAATGCGAAAACAGTGCGGGGATAATTATGAGATGCTGGGGTGGAGAGGGGGAGCAGAAGAGAGTCACAGCGGGGGATAAAGAAGGAGACAGGAACAAAGAGAAAACAGAGACATCAGAAGAATCTGAGCTCAAAGAGGCATTCATTATGCGCTGTCATCTTCCCCTGATGCCCTCAGTCAGATCAAGCCTGGTGGAGGAGCTCGGTGTGACACATGGGCGTCGATGCAATCTGCCCTACATATTTCAATTCGTCTCTTGTGCCCTTGTAACTTAATGTGAGAGCTGTAGTCGCAAACATTTTGTTGGCCCTGTATGTGACAAAGCCAAAGTAAACTCTGCTTAAAACTGAAAATGGTGGCTAAAAGATATGCTTTTTATATTAAAATTATTCAGTCTATATAAGTTAGAGGCATAATTAAAGATTTCCTTATACTTAAATGCAGATGTAAATGTCAGGAAACCGAGCTGGAAAAGAAGAGACACTTGAGCTTCATGTAATGCTTGGCCCATTTTTTTTTTCAAAGAGACTGCGACAGACTAAACCCACTGAGAAACGCGCCTATCATGAGGCTCAGTTATTCCCACCATCCTGGGAAAGCAGTGCAGCGAGCCGCCAAAATAGTAGTCATTAAATTTTATGACGTTCAAAGCAGAGCGCAAGGTTTATGAAGCTGGAGAACCATTTCTTTATCTTTGTATAATTCACTTGCTATGAATTGAAATATGTCACAACCTTAATTGTCAGTGAGTCCTAACTCATTGCGGGAGAAACATGCCAACAACATTACCCAGCACTTGTAACAACTCAGAACCTCTTTTTATTGTTGATATTTGTAGGTTTCAGAGTTTTTTTAGATCAATTTTATTTTTTTATTTATTTTTTTGCTTAATCCTTATGGTAGTAAGCCTGTTGAATGCAAAGGTATCCTACAAAATGTGCTTGTCATATTGCTAACAATTCTGGGTGAAAAGCTAAAACAAACTGCTTGGGAACCCAGCTTCCTGTTTAAATAAGATTTAGACACTGACCTACAGAAATCGGGGGGCACCATGCCGAACACGTCAATCCTGTCGCACAGCTCCAGGGCCATAGACATGGTGAACCAGCCGGTGCTCAGCCAGGAGTTGGAGCTCTTTCTGGAATAAAGACAAGCGAGGATTGTCATGTCTCAGTGAACACAGACGCGCAGCGTGCCTGCTTTTACAAACAAAGCGCAGCTGTTCCTCAGATTTTCTCTGCACTGTGCAGAACAGACAAAGGACATGAAGAAATGTGACACATTTGCTCTGACTGACTGGATTCTCAATCTAATGCACTGAGCTTCTCAACCTGGGGATTCGTTGTTTACTGCACATGCAAATGAGTTCATATGAATAGCTGAGTTCACATCAGTCAAATGCCTTTATCTATTTATTCCACTTTTTATAATGTTCATATTCAGCCGGTGCTTTTCCACAGTAGAACTGCCTATAATCTATATACAAAAATAAACCTGAGTATTATAAATCTTATTTTGTATTTTGTGAGCTGGTGTGCTCGCAAGTACTTCCTGGGTCCCACAGTTTCCATAGCTTGCAAATAACAGCATAATCTTGTGAACATTTACCTATCAATGCCTGTTTCCTTCTTGAATAACTCATCAAATTTCAGCATCTTGGACCGGGAGATCGTGTACACTTTAAGTTTGGGCAGTAGGTGTTTTAACAGTCTGAGGTTGTTGTACACATGGCCTCTACCGTCCCGTCTCATGCAGCTGCTTGGACCCCAGAAGATGAACACTGTGTCCTGGCTCCCGTTGAGCAGTTCCTGTCTGCCCCGGAGCACCCTCTGCAGGCTGGAGTGAGCCACGACGCGGAGACTCGTGCGCCTTCCCACGTCCAGGTGATGCCCTGCGCAGGGAGCGTCGTTCATTCGAATGACGCAGTCCGAGCGATCGATTTCCTCGCCCCTGTTGCCGCCAGTCAGGTGGCCAGAGCTGGTCACCAGGGCGCACGTCCTGCAGTGCATCTTCAGAGGCTGCAGGGAATAAATCGAAAGGAGATGAACAGAAGCAGGAGAGCGCTGATATTTAAAAAATTATTTTGGACTGTTGTCACTCAGGAGTATAGCACCTTCCCAAAATATTTACATCTGTAGAACATATTACATGAAGTCGCATTTCATGTAGTATTTAGCTGGTAGAACAGTCTCATGGCAGCAAATCTTCACACTGGACTTAAATGGCGCTGTCCAAAATGTTGAAGGTCACATAGTGATGGACATAGAGAGAATACCATGCAACCCCATAACTGGCTGTATGTTTGTGGTTGTTGTTCTGCTTTAAGGTGAATCTCTGCCCTCGTCTCAAGTTTGATTCAGCCTTCAAAATGTTTCCCTCCAGGACTGTCCGGTAATTAGCTTCCTTTTCAGTCTGACATCTTCCACGTTCCTGCTACAATAAAGTATTCCCACAAAATGTTGCCATCACCATGTTTTAATATGAGGAGGATTTATTCAGGGAAGCGTAGTGTTAGTTTTTCTTGTTTTTCTTGTAGGTCATCAGGTATATTTTTAGTCTCAGTTGACTAGAGAAGTTTCTTGCTCATTTTTCTATTTGGTGTCTTATGTCTTCACATCACAGTTTCACTCTTCCCTATTCCTACCCTCAGGGCAGACTCCTGACTCCTCCAGTATTTCCAGTGGTTTGTAATTTTGTCACAATGATTTAGTGATGGTGTCCAATGCTTTTTGTGTTAGCAGTACTACTACCCTAAAATGTAGTCTTTTGATTGCGGGGCATAGCATAATGAGGACTTTACTCAAGGCTCTATTTATTCCAGAATAACCACAGATCTCCTACCTTAATATAATAACCCACACCGAATCAAAAGTATTCTCTCACACTGCATTATCATCGCATATTCAAGTAGTCTTTCACCCAAAGTGTCCTTCACACTGATAAAAATGTAGTTATAGGAGAGCATTATCAGCATTGTGGAGAAAAGGTGAAAAAGTTGTAACACAGGCTTCAACTCTGTTGAAGAGAGGCTGAGTTTTTTTTTTTGTGTGTCCAAACAAGGTCTTCTGAGTTGGAAAAAGAAGCGGTCGGATGGTGAATGATCCGACAGCAAACACCCAAAGACTCCCCACATGAATTATTCCCAACCTTAATGGAGAGCTCCATCAGAATTCTGAACCGGGCCCCGAGCTTCACACTCCACCAGTTCACGAGGTGCAGATAGATGGGGGAGTCTGTCTGTCTGCATACACACGGGTGAGATTACAAGCGGCGCAGGTGCTGCCGCTCCGGCCGCTGTGTCTACAACACCGAACTGCTATCCAGGTGACTCATGCACTGAATGATTTTGTGTGGTGTGAGTGTGTGTCATGCGTTTCCCGGTGAAAACTTTAAGTGTGGTCGCAAAAAAAATGAAGTGGCTAAGATCCAGCAATTTATGATGTCTTCTGTAAAAATAAACAACATAATAGATAAAAATAACAAACAAATATCCAACCGCAGTCAAGCCGGACTTCCTCTCCAACCCATCTCTCCACAGGAACTATCTCATCAGGATGTGTGCTGTTCTGTGTGAGCAGACCTAATTCCTGAATACCAGGTAGGTTGGAACAAATTACACACCTCGCTGCACAAACCCGCCTATCCTCTCTCCAGCTGGGAGAAGTCCTGTTCATGTTTGTTCTTTTCTTTTCTACCAACAAAAGATAGAGGCTCCTTTTCCCTAATCACTGTCTTCCCAAATCGTTCCGAAGCATTTGACAATTTCAATAACTGGGAAAACTGGGACCAGCAAGCAAAAGCCAGTTGCTTGCTGGTCCGTACTGCTTCAGTTTGAGTCAAAAGAGTCCGTTGGAAACAAAAAAGTGTCCTTGAACGTGACTCTGCAGCTCCTTCTTCCTGAGCTCCTGACAGCTTGATAATTCCACATCAAAGGAAAAAGACCTTTCAAAATCAAGTGGAAAACCTGGAGATGCAACTCACAGACTGTTGAATAAATAAATGCTGGCTGTGCAGCAGCGCACTGTGGGGAAAACAAATATTCAAAGTTAACTTGAACATAGATAAAAATTTAAGAAGTGAATGCTTATAGAGTTATCGGCATTTATCGATACTCGCATCATTGTGTTAAAACCAGCTTAATGTTAGGAGGCCATAGAGATCAATATGGTTACGAGGAGAAACGGAAAAATAAGAAAGTTGGAGGATAGCTCTGGTTCCCATTTCAATCAACAACTCTCAGACTGACTCTACACATCTCCATCATCCCAAATACACATCATGACAGCAAACAAGAGGAAAACTCAACTGTCAGTATCACTGCACAGGAACCCGCACTGAGTCACAGTGAAACGCTAGTCAATTCAAAGAGGATGCTTGATGACATAACATTGCAAAAACAGTCTCCCTAATATAGGCTTTTGTGGAGATCAGAAATCAGACTAAAATGGAGCCTTTTTTATGACAACTCGATAAGACTCAAAACAAATCTTGTTGTTTTATTGTAAAAAATAATTGTGTGCTAAAGCAAAATGCTGAAAAACCATTAGTTTTCAAAAATCCTCCGAGACAAAATATGAAAAGAGACAAGTAGAACCAGCAACATTTCCTTTGAATGACCTCTAAATTTATTCTAGCCTCATTCCTCCCAGTTGTCAGTAGGATGTGTGTACAGCTTTGACACTGTGAAGCTGCACTATAAGAATGATTATCTAAATGTTTTTCTTTTAATAAGGTTTTTCTTCTAGTATTGCTGAAGACAACTCTGACAAATTCTTTTTCATCTTACGATCCATTTTCCAAAAATCTACATTGGATTGAAGTTTCTCTATAGATGCATTTTTTATAAGAAGCTCTTTCACAGTCAAGGCTTCTTATACAGCTGAGCTTAAAAATGAGGATGATTTTTTTTTTTCAGGTGGAAGAGGCACAATGATTATCTCTGCAAGAGCTTGTCAGAGTGCAGATATCTCATTTCATTTAATGCTGGTTTCGAAAACATCTTCAAGTGCTGATGTTCCTGCTTTCTGATTTTCTTGATGGATGGATGGATGGATGGATGGATGGATGGATGGATGATGGATGGATGGATGGATGGATGGATGGATGGATGGATGGATGGATGGATGGATGGATGGATGGATGGATTTTTGCAGAAAAAAAGCACAATGTTTGTTTTGGGATTGTACAAAAATGGTGCAAATGTGAAAAAGACAAAGATTTTCATTAATTATTTTATAAATGTGTCAAAAGTTGAGTAGTTTTGGCAGTTTAAATGAAAATGCATTACAAAACAAACTCTTAAAATTGTTTGTTATCTAAAGATTGCAACAATGTAGAATTGTCAAACAACCCATAAAAACGGGTACAAGTCTTTCATGATTTATTTTTTTTTTATCTTTTTGATCTTCAAGGACAATTAGATATTTATGACAATGGAATAAACTTTTCTGCAGCCCATAATCTATGCTCACCCATTTGTTTTTGGTTATAGAGTAAATTCAGCCTCATCCCAAACCTCTTAAAGACGTACTTTCACCCTCACTGCCCTCATCTTCTTCCTGAGTCTCGCTCTCATTCTCATCACTCTCACTTTCTCTCGGCAAGTATTCACGCCGCTCGTCATCTTCATTTTTAATTAATTTTAATTTGTCTTCACAATCCTCAGCTGGAACTATGATTTCCACCCTCTACTTGAAGGTGTGTAAAATGAGATGAATATGTCAAATTAGCCGCAGTAATAAAGAACTACGGAATTGTCATTTCCTGAACTTAACTTTACCTCAACAAACATTTATCATTAACTATAAGTTATTATAATGAAATTTCTGAACCTAACATCAAAACTAAACTAAACTATTAAGCTCTTGCTATCAACACACTTTCAGTTTCTATCCCTCCACTTCCAAATGTAAACGGTAATCTGGGCAAAAGAAACATTCTCTGTTGTTTTCCTTTTTGTCATGTCAAACTCGGTTAGAAACGGACAAGAGTGTTCAAAAGCTATTATGACCTTACTGATGTTCATTATATTCTTTAAAATTTCTCATCTAATGTTATAGTATGTCCTATTATCAAGATAAATTAATAAGAAAGTAGATTTCAAGTTGTTTTTGAGTAAGACAGCTAAGACCCACTTTTAAGTGGATTTAAAATGTGAACATCATGGGAATAAATCAAAGGAGCAAACTCAGTGCAGGGTTGGTAAATATTTATAAGTTCCTGCTTAAAAAAAATTGTCTTATGAGCTATTTCTGCACACTCAGAGATTGCTTTAAAGTGTAGATAGAAGAGGTTTCCTGATTTCATTCTGTACATTAGAATAACAACGGAAGAATAGACTCATCACAAAGCTTCACCTTCTTGCTCTAGCACAAGATGTGTGATTACCAGCGTTTCCTAAGGCCGGCGTAGATTGACTCTGATAACAGTAATTCACAGCTCGATACCTGTTTCCTACGATCGCTAAAACGTAGAAGAAAAGGTGAGGAGTGGAAGAGAGGACTCTAACAAATGTGTGTCAGGGAGTTCAAACTCCAGCGTGAGAGTAGGCACCCATTTGGAAGCATCTGGATGCTTGTGCTTATCTCTACAGCTCCTATTACCGCAGCTTGTCAAAAAGAAGACAGTCGGGTGGAACATCCTTCAAAAACCTGCAGACACTGCACAAGGCAGGGAGAGATCCAGTGCACAGTGTGTTGTTGGAGGGGGAAAAAAGCATTACATTTTGCTGCTAGGAAGTAAAACAGCTATAATCTACTAAATTTTAACTGATTTGATGTAAAAATAATTCATCATCTTTTGCAGTGTCATTGAAGAAAGCTTTGTACCTAATAAACTTTTGCACATCTTGTCATGTTGAAACCACAAACTCATATGGCATTTATATTGGATTATATGTGACTGGCCAACAAAGAGGTGTACATAACTAATCAGGAAGCAGAAGTTCACCTTCCCATAGGATGATGGCCATAAACAGTCATATTATAATCAGGATGGTCTACATCAATCACATAAAGTACACATACTTTAAGTGCAAATGTACAACATATGGAAATACTGTGCAGTTATCAAAAACTGATAATTTGTTTTTCTCTTTAGAGTTATCGACTACTTTATAAAGCCGAGAAATACATTGAAGTTAACTGTTGTAATGTGACAATGTGGAAAGAGGATGTATATACTTTTGAAAGGCTTTCTCGTCATGACCTATTCAAGCAACGCACGCTCATGAGTTGATTTAGAGCATTAAACTGGTCTAGACAGTGCACTAAACAGACCTCATTTTCAAGCATGAGCTTTGAAATTTTAATACTGTTGGAGCATTTGCATGGAGTTGTCTGCATTAGTGTTCTAGTGATACGGGAATGTGTGCATGAGAGTGTGTCTGTGCACTTGTGTCAAAGCCAAGAGTCCCTCAAGCAGCAGAAGCCCTCAGATGACACCGAGGGGAACCGCTCAGACGGATGGACCCACTTCAGAGCACTGGCCTTTCTGCATTCCAGAAAGACAGAGACAGCAGCAGCAGAAACTAAAAAAACTATCATAAGATAGAAGGAGAACGTCTTATAATATCTACAAAACTCCAAACATCATTCTAAACGAAGCAACAGAGAATTGAGCAGCTGAAACAAAGCTCCACCCAAATCAGCGGCAACCTCACGATCTCGTCTCGTTGTTCATTAGGCAGTCGGCAGCGTTAGCCAAACAAGTGCTCTCCTTCTAAATCCTCTCCTGCTTCAATGCTGTCTGAGCAACACTTCAGGGTCTAACTGTATATTTTTCTCTCTGAGGGGGAGGCAGGATGTGTGAAGACTTGGTAACAATGCACTGGGTGTGAGTGATAGGTTTGTGCATTCACGAGGCAGACATGAAGAACACAGCAGACATGTAGCATATTTAAAAGGAATTCCACTGGATCCATCCAGTTTTTGTGCTTTTGTTACTAAATAATGGATGGTGAACACATTAATTATGAATTGTGAAGGGGAGTAAAGCACAGGATGAATTTAGGGCTGGAAAATTCTACTTTTTACTGTAGATCTTAAGATAGGGGCTGAACTCTTAAAGAATGTTTTATCTCAGAAGGTTGTATTGAGAAATCTTTTTAGTATAATAAATTCCACTGGTTTTATTCGAAAATGTTGGAAATCAAGAACCTATAAAGTCACTTGCAAATGTATTCATTCCCTTTGAAATTGTCCATGCTATGACCACCAACCTCAGTGTATCCATTTGGAGAACACAACTTGTCTCTTATATGACCGTAAAAACATGTACTTTTGCATTCAGCCCTCTTTCCCCTGATTCACAGAAATAAGACAAAATCCAATCTGCCTGGATATAAATGCACATCAAACTTCTCAAATAATTGTCTGGAAAACACTGTGACAACCATCATTCAATGCAGTTTCAAAGTAGTAATTAGTTAATCTACAGTCATAATTGTGGCTGTAATGCAACACAGTATGAAAAGGTTCAAAGGGTATAAATACTTTTGCAGGATCATATCAAAATAAACTAGTGCAACAGAATTCGGTTTTACAGAAGTTTAATATTAGATATATTAGTCTTTTTGGCAACTAAACCGTTTATTCTTTGTTTGTTTTGCTTTTTAATAAAAAGTTGTATCTTAGTATGTTAGTATAAGCCATTTGAGTTGCTTTGTGCTTCATGTGCTACATAAATAAAGTTTCCTCGCCTTGAGGGATCCTGACTCAATCTTCAGTTTCTAATTTCTCATTCTTGCATGTTCAATTTAACAACCATTATATGACTTTGACCTGATTTGGCTTTAGGTCACAGGTTAACTGAGGTGAGCATCCACACATAAACATTGAACACAAATGTGTACAACTAAAAGCGGAAAAATAATTAGATATTTCAAATATGCAATAGTTTTTAAATTTGCTTCATAGCTACATTTTAATGCACCCATCAACATGAAAAATTTAAATACATACTAAATTAAATAAGATGTTGATTGAAGAAAACAAAACTTTCCCATTATGGCAGAGACAAACAGAGCCAATGTTTAAATGCAGATGATTTTTTTTTTGCACATTTTCTGTGCAGCACCAATCTGATCCATCAGTTGGTTTGCAAATGTTTCTCATTTATCTATACATCATTTTTAAGATATAACATGAGATATGAGAATACAAAACTTAAAAAATCTAAGGACAGATGTAAGATCAACATAAAAAAAATCTATATTATTAGTGACTGAGAAGGAAGACTACTTGTTGGTTTCTGTCAGAGGTGAAAAGAGTCAAAGTGTAGGAAAAGATTGCAGGCATAGATGGAAGTACAGAAAAAGAGAGGTTGGTTAGCACAGAGTAGATCAGTGTAGGAGAGGCTCTCTGAGGAGCCGGAGTTCACGAAGACTGACAGAAAATCACCGGTTCTGGTGGAGTTCCAGCAACGGTCCCCTCAAGGTGTACGACCGTATTTTCTTGAAAGGAATTACTTGCTTCCAATTCCGTGCAAAAAAGGAATAGATGCAATTTGTGGCACAACAGATTTGACTTTTTCACTGTGACCCTCACTAACATACACCCTGAGCAAAAAGCAGTAATTCCATTATCAACACAATGCAACTTGCCTTGTCTGCAGTGGTGGTCCTCGCATAAAAGGCGCCCTGAGACAGCCTCTCCGTTTGCGATGCAGTCCCACAAAAAGCACATAAAGTAGCAATACTCTCCACAAATCGCATGTGTCTAAGAACAGACGATAACTTGCTTACGATGCAACCTACAAATCATTATGCTTTTTAACTGTGTAAAACAACACCAACACTGTTTGCTAAAATTTGGACACTCTGTCATTTAAATTTTCTTTATCGCAAGAGATGGTTATACTTCAAAAGAATATCTCAAGGTGTATGTGAATCAGGTACTGTTGTGTGAAATTAATCAGATTTTCACTCTGCACGTGTGATGCATGTTTACCTTCAGGTCAGTGATACCTGCAACCCCTTCCAGAGTGGAAACTTGCACACTCTGCTTTCTCTTTGTGGCTGGAGCATCCTCGTGGTGGGAGTGCAGTGATCTGGACGCAGAGGAAGGCCGTCTCCCACAAGAGCTGCTGTTGTACACGACAATAAATCCTGTAACCATGGTAACGATGATGATGCCACCGACCCCCTGACATTTATGGGGGAAAGAAAAGGAGAGGGAGGGAGAAATAAATCAATAATCTCTTGATATTAACAGGAAGATTAGAAGACATTGAAACGACAGACATGGTAATTATGACAACCGCACATTAAAAGCTGCAAAAGAAACGTCAGCTGTGCCTCTCAGATGCGCTCGCCATGCTCTTGGAACAGGAAGCGTGTTTCAGACTGCTCAGTTCTAATGTGCTACAGGCTGATTATATCTTCACTCAACAACAACAACAACAAAAAAGTTCACAAGGATGAGCTCTTATAGGATTATCCTTCATGAATATTAGAAATGTGTTGCTGGACAGTACAATTAAGTAACAGTGGACAGAGAACAGTCTGCAACTCGAGTGGCACAGACGACACTAAGGCTTCACGCAAAGCAAAAAAGAATCCTTCAAGACACTTTCCCTCCCCCGGTCTGAATTACCACTCTCATCTTCATCTTGATTCCCTCCCTCATTGCTTCAGCGCACACAGCGAGTCTTCATCCTACCGGGACCGGGCGTGAGGGAGGGGTGCTCCTCGGCATGCGCAACGCCGGAGCGGTCGGCAGCATCACCGGGATCCGCGAACTGCAACCGAGAGCGACGCTCCAATAACTCCGCTGCCCGGCCCAGTCTCCTTCTGCAAAGCGCTCCTCATGGTCCTAAGCGCATCACACTCCCAGAATGCTCCTGGTTTCTGGTTTGACACATGGTGCTTTTTGCTTTCATTACAGACACGTCTCTGCTCCAGGAGCTCCAGGAGCTCCACGGTGAGTGTCTTCTGCATCAGGACTCTTCAATCATCTCAATGTGAAAGTATGCAGAGGACTGTAAGCATTTGTAAAGTAGAACACACAATCTATTATTATTATTATTATTATTTTTTTTTTTTTTATCAATTGCACTGATTGAGTCGGTCGTGTATGGGAGCATTTTTCGTCTAAATTGAATAATTTCGTGAAAACACGCACGCAAACCATTACAGGTAAATAAATAACAAAGCAGTGAAAAATATTTTCAGATTTTTTTTTTTCTTTTTTTTTGAGAGCGCAATAATCACACTGAAACATTTGTCTCATTTCTTCAACAGTGAGACGTGGACAGGTTTTTTCTTCTCCTTTGCCATGTTTGACATCATGTCTGCATATTTTGATGCTGATCATGCCGAGATCTTTGGAGGAGAAGGGATGCTCCCCGGGAACAAAATAATTTTAAAAAAAGTTAAAAACTCTGCTTTTGCAAAAACACCTGATTTAAGGCACTCTCGGAGGAAATGGCATTATTCACATGGGTCTATTTGGATTAAACTTCTCACTTGGAAAATTTCATGCAACCTTGGAAGATATTTAATGAGTCTCTGATGGTTGCTTCACATGCGTGGGGTCTGAGAAGCATAAACATGCAGCATCAACAGCAGAGAAAGTTATGTGAGCATACCAAACCATGAATATTTGATTTCTGCAGCAGTTTTTTTAAGAAATGACAGTGCTTCTCACACGCAACACAGATGCTCTTCTGAAAGCCCAGAGATAGATTCTGTCCCTCTGAATTTATTCCAATAACGCAGCTAAAGTAGGAAAAGGCAATAAAATCTTAATGCCATTCCTTATTTTAGCTGGATGTAAGTATAGCTCAGCATCTTAGTCTTTTCTAAAAAATAAATAAATAGTAATAATAATAAATAAAAAGATTACATTTGATTCTGTGTGCAGCCATGAAAACTGTCTATGTAGACCTGATCTTGTGAGGCCAAGACAACTGCAATCAAATGTTGGCTTCACATGAGTGTTAATTTCAGTCTTGCACAACTGCTATAGTCGGAGAGCAACTTAGCGACTCACTGCACTCACGTATGACTCATACTGAGCTTGCTTTACATGAAGAAATCTTCAAAAATAAAGAGAAATACCAAATTCACCTTTTTTTATGCTTCCTACCTCTCTCTATCATCCAATGGCAACATCATAAATGCAATCATCAGATTGCCTGCATCAGAAGCGATGAAAACATCCAGAATCTTCTGGTCGTTGTAAACTGGCAGAAATCGGTAGCTTTCAGTCAGTTGTTTTATAATTCAAGGAGTCCCTGAGGTCTAAAATGCATCTTAAAGCACAGCTCCAGAGGGAAGAAAGCCAGTAAGCTACAAGGCAAATGGCTAAGAACAAAAGCTTTTTTTTAATTAACTCCAACCTCTTATCAACAGAGGCACCAGTCAGCAGCTTGCTTTTGCTGAGCCAAATACAACACATGAATATGGTGAGCTGTTAGGCTTGTGCATTGCATTTGGAACAAGAAAACCTTGTTGTTACCTATTGCGTTGTTCATACAGAACATCAACCTGAACAAAACAAACAACAAAAGTAATAATCAAGAAGCTAATAGTATGTTGTCCCAAATAGTATCAGCCTTGCTGATACTATTTGAATATATGTCTAAATTTGCAAACAGGCCAAATAAAGTTGAACTTGCCTAGACAAGTGTAATGAGATTTAGAAGACAGGAAAATTCTCATTGTGAAGTTAATTAAAAAAAAGACATTCAAACTTAGAGACTTATCTAAAATTATGAAGACATGTTCTTTGGTCCACTGTTATATTTCAAGGAAAATTGGGGAAGCTTGTCAACCTCGGGTCATAAGGCAAAGTTCAAAGAATGGAGCTGGAAGCATCGTGTTGCTGGGGGTGTCTAGCACTAGCACGGACTGGGGCACTTTACTAAATCATTGGCATCGTGAGTGAAATACAAAGTTTTAAAATGTGAAGTGATGTGTCAAGCTATAAGATGATAAGTTAAAACAGTGTTGGCAAAATGGTCAATAATCCACCCACAAAATTGTCAGTGATGGTCCTCAAAAAGCCTCTTTTGTGAGCAGAGTTGAACAGGTGTGTAGAAGCAAGACAGTCTTCAAACATCTCTCAGTTACACCAGTTCTGCCAGGAGGAATGGGTCAAAATCCCAGAAACCACTGTATGTATGAAGTTAATCTCAGTACATTCAAAGTAACCAAGCCATGTAGTTTAAAAGGTCATTCTACCAAGTACAAAAAAAATTTATAAGAAGCTCTATATTTAATGAAATGGTCTTTTCTTATACCTGTGTAACCAATAAACATATTTTTGCAAATTTCTTTACAGACAGACATGGCTGGCAATTGCACTAGTTATGGATGCAATTTTCTAGGACTTGCTGAGTGTTCATTGTTTCTCAGATTTGCTGAGCATATCCAATTGGCAAAGAAAGAAAAGACTTTCAATGAACCTGTTTCATTTATACCCAGTCATTTAATTCCTTTTGGCCAAACAGAGCAGAGAAAATTGAATTTGAAGCTCCTATAACCTGATTTCAACAGAAAAGAAGATAGTGATCAGAATATTTTTGTTGGCAAACATGTCCACAGGTCCAGAAATTGAAACTTAATGCTTGAGCTCAGTAATACATCTGTAAGTGAAAAGTTTTTTTTAAAATCTGGCAGATAATACTGTATATTCCCAAACTCTATCATTTTTGTTTACTGATCTGTTTTTGGAGTCTGGAGCACAAAAAGTAATTTTACCCATAAAATGAAAGGGTGCATGTAGCAGTGGTATCCTTCTTTTTATACTATCAAAAAGAAGGTCATAGGGATAAACCAGCTAAAGAAAAAGTTCAAAAATAGAATAAATTACTTGAAAATGCCAGCATTTCAAATTCTACTTCATGTTGCCTGTACCCTTCAGGGCATTTATCTTTTCATATTTTACTGCCTTTCATACACACCAGATTTCTGCATTCTTAACTTAAGGTAGTAGAAATTCATTGTGGTCTGGAAACATCACATCTTCAACGAGAAGAGTTTTCTCTGCACTTAGCAAAAATATGACTGTGACTCCGTCTGTTTGCCATTGGCAGTGATCGTGCTACATCACCATCTGATTTAACTCTGGAAAGCACAGCCGCTCTACATGACCATCCTTTGGCAACTTGCACTTTCATCACAGTGCTCTGTTCCGCCCACTGACGGGGCACAGAGTGGGGCTCCTTGTTTTGAAATTAAACTTGGATGCGTATGAGCTCAAAACTGCCTGTACCCCACATTCTTTTACATCCCAACTCACAAAAAGGTGCGGCTATGTAGACGCTCTGACCCATTCACTCTCAAACTCATGTACATCTGGACTTTTGCCTGTCTGTCCTGTATCTGACACATCAACATTGTCAGATACAATGTTAATGTATTAACATGTTGCCGTATTGGACAGGTGCCACAGTGAAAAGATTCTGATCTTCTGGTCGCATTGTCATGCCTGATTGGCGCTGATATTCTCTTATGTCTGAAAACAGTGCAAATACATAAACAAATCTGAGGCATTCTATAAATGACGACTGTGAGTGTTTGCGATTCAGACTTTAGTCAGACTGTGTCATACAATATTTTTTGTAGATTAGTTTATTTTCTTTTGTTTGACTTTATTCATTAATACAAAGTCTTTCACTATGTATCAATGCATGGAAAGGGCAATATTTTTTAAATAAACAGGCATTAAAGAGGTAGGTATGAAATCTATTTTGGGGTTTGATAGGATTTGAGGGGGAGGCAAAGACAAAGAGACAAAGAAAACGATGCAATATCATAGGAATCCCGACTGAGGTCAGTGTTTCTCACTTCAGTTCACTCAGTTTCGGATAGTTGTCCGTGCCTTAAATGTTGTAATATGACATGTCTTCAGTCATTCCGAGAAAGACTCACAACATGTATTCAAAAGTCGGCTGTGGGTCGCATTTAACAAGCGAGCACTTCTCGTCCATTTTGGAAGATTACCGAGTCTCGTTCAGCAACAAAGAAGCACGGAGGGTGCAGCGGCCCCTTTAACGCCGTTTTTGGAATAATTAATGACGTCGCGCTGTAAACACGACCGACGCTCAGCTGCGTGGATGAAGCATCCTCAGAGCATCCAACAGCGCGAGACCGTGCAGGCTGCCTTTGTTTATTTCACGACGGGACTGCTGTCCCTGCTTCTGCTGCTGCTGCGACGGGATAAAATAACTGACCCTCACCTCGACTCTCATATGCAGTCTCCAACACCAACACGGCGGTGGTGTGCTTGTTCTACTAACTGCCATGGCTAGAAACACGGACACCCCATCTCCTTACCCTTATCATGGTGAGTTGGTTCGTCTTTGTTGTGAACGCTGTGGACGTGGGGGGGGAGGTTTTACTGTGGAACGCTGAAACAGCGGGACGCAACGAGATCTTTTTCTTTTTTTTTACGCCTGAACTGCAATTGAATGTTACCTGCGCTTTTTACGTGACGTTAGCTTATGTTATCAAATGCTAATTAAGAGATTGTAACGGCTGACATCTACTACGTAACGGCAGAATAACGTTTAAAACGCGGATAGTTTCATTGAAGGGAGACAAGTCGCGTCTCCTCTCTGTTGTCTGTTTAAATTAAGCGTTAAAAAAAAAATTAACAACCGCGTCGTTTTTCGCTCCAGTTTTGCACATTTATTCCTTTGCTGTGGTGTAAATTGTCTTGGAAAATATCACTTTTTGCGAAATTACTGCGTACATTACTTTGGGGGGGGGGAATCAGTTGGTTATGAACGTCTGTAGTTGTGAGACTCATTGATCACTCGATTGCAAATAAGCGGAAAAAACATTGACTCACTAGTTAACTTTGGTGCAGCAGCCACACCGCTTTGCTTCCCTGCGTTAAACCAGGGCTGTTATTTACGTGACTGGCATGGTGGCTTACCG